TTTTTAAATCGATCCAGTCGTCCGAAAAGACACAACTAAGGGCCTCGTTCCACACCACTAGAAAATCCTAACTTTGTAAGGGCGCCCTAACTGGCCAAGGGTGATTAATTTACACTAACTTCTTTTTTGGTTCCACAACACCCTACACTTACTCGCCCTTACATCTGAGGTGAGGAGGGCGGGTGTCAGATTTTCGGCCTGTGGGCCACGGATTCGCTGGGAAAAGAACAACCCTGCGGCAGCATCCGTCAAATACGCGCCACGTACGTCCCCACGTACGTCCCCACCCTCACATTTCTAGTCACCTCCGGGGGCTCCCTAGAGATTTCCGGGGGCTCCCTAGAGATTTCGCCTCGTTTTGCCTGGGCCGCCCTAAAAAAGTGAGGGCGGACCCTAAAAGCCGACAATGTGGGAACATTCTGCAGTTCGTTTTTTTCGTCATTAGGGAGTGGTGGAACGATGATTTTCGTAGGGTCCTTACATTTTTAGTGGTGTGGAACGAGGCCCTAAGCTAGATGGGAGTCACTGTGCACCCTCATGAACTTGAAGACCTGAAGACTAAGTAGCATGTTCATACCTACCGTCTTCCCCCGAACACAACGCACCCTCATTTTGGCTGTCTCTGGCCGGAAATATAGCTTGTATACATTCATTTTTAGGGTGCATTATGTTCGGGGGAACACGGTAGTTCCCGAAGTCCCCGTGCAATCAGGCTTGCACGGCGTCTGCTTCAACCGGGGCTGAGCAGGGGGCAAGAGTCTCTGCTTAGCCCTGGTACCTGCAACCGCTATCTGGTCAGGTCGCCCTGCCAAGATGGCAATGGGTGATGGTCCTGGGTGGTTAACACTAGGGTAGGATAGGGGGGGTGGGGATGCGCCAGGGCAAAAAGATGAGAGGAAGGGTGGGTGGGGTCTTCAGAGGGGTTCGTCCGGACAACCGAGTGGCCAAGCACTGTGGGTGATTGCCATCCGTCTGGTATCCCACCTCTACAACAACCTGGGCTTTAAAAAAACTAGAGTTGTATCCATTGGGTGCGTGGTGGGAAACCCGTCTAGGCAACAAAGGCTCTTCACAGCGTGACCGGAGACCAGGTGTGGTGCTCCGCTAGTGACAGAGATGGAGATGGAGGAAGAAGGGGGGAGCGAGATGGCACAACGCAGCTCCCCACGCAAGACTCCAACGCACGTACTCCAAAATGTGCAAATGAAGAATGAGCTCGAAGCGGACTGACGGGACTGGACTGAACTGGCTGGTACTGACAGAGGTACCGGCCTGGACTGGACTGCCCCGAATAAAACACAGGCCTGTAAGAACAGGCCAAGGGGCTGGTCTCACAGGCCCACCGGAGGTCCGCTACACGATCCTCGGCCTGTGATGGATCGCCTAGATACAAGCACGCTTCCGCCAAAAAGCGGAACTCTACCAAAGAAAAAAAACCTGAGTAGTCTAGGATGCGGAGCAAGCTCCATGTTGAGTCCATGCGATGCAACCTAGGATATAAAATGTCACAAAACAACAATATCACAGCTAACAGCCTAAGTAAAAGCAAAAACAACTAACTAGCATACATGTCCTAGGAAAGCAAAAGCAACTAACTAGCATACATGTCCTAGGAAAGCAAAAGCAACTAACTAGCATACATGTCCTAGGAAAGCAGAAAGTAGTGACAACTAGATCCTAGGATGTTGGAGGCAGTAGCCTCAGTCTGGGAACAGCTGACTAGTGTATAAGTCCTAAAAACAGCAAAAGCAGAACAACTAAATCCTAGAAATGTGAGAGGCAGTAGCCTCAGTCTGAGAGCAACAAAGCAACAACAAGTCAATCATATGTCACATGAGAAGTGTGTCGCAAACCAAAGGGTGGGATGGTCTCTGAGGGTGGCGAATGCAGCCTAGGGGTCGAAAACTCCTAAGGGCATCCACACATAGATAACAGGGAGACACATGTCATCAGGCTCAATGAGGGTAGGGAACTGAGAGCGAACAAAACCAATGACCCTAGCAGATAGACCATCAGGGCGGGTAATGCTCGACTAAGGGGTGACCGCTATGGAGGATCGACCATGGGAATAAGGGAGCCTGGTATACTGGGCGCACCTAAATGAAGAATGCGGGGCTGCCTAACTAGGGCGTGAGGGTCGGCAAACGGTAGAAAGATGATGGGTAAGGGAATCATGCAAATGACTCCTAAAGTGAGGGAAGTCGAAGCTAGATCCGTAAGATGGGAAGCCAGGGCAACGCTACGGTCCCGATGCCTATGCGTATACCAAGGGAGAGCCCAACTBARMGRAACCCGGCTAAAGGGAGACCATCATGCGACACAAGCAGGGTACTGTACAGGGTAGAGTGGTAAGAGAGTGGCGACGTCTGAAGTAGGCAGAGCTGATCGTGATGAAGTCCATGAAGCTGCCCATGACGTCCACGATGAGAAGTCCGGAATGTCGTCGAGGAAGAGCCGCAGCGTCGACGAGCTGAAGTAGCAAAACTGATGTGGATGGAGTACTGAGAAGTCAAAGACGTGGGAAGGTAAGTCAGAGTCAATCGTCGTATCGAGCAGGACGACGACGAGTGCGGTGTGGACGCTCAGAAGCATCCGGCTGCTGCTGAAGGTCTGCCTCAGATGGAGCAGGCTCGACTTCAGCGGTCTCCTCAGCTGGGGGAGAAGGAGGAGGGTCAGTGGGCTGAGGAGGAGCAGTGAACCCAGCACGACGAGCACGGTCATAGGCACGCACCAACATGCGAGCGTGCTGCAAGTGCTCGAGGGGCTCCCAGGTAGCCTCCTCATCAGGGTAACCCTTCCAACGTACGAGATACTCGACGTGGGTAGGGTTGTCGTCGGTGACTCAGCGACCAATGATGTCTGAAACGAGGAACTCCTCGTGGCCGTCCACCATGATGGGCGGAGGGCGCTCGTATGGTCGTCCAGCGAAACGCTTAGACGGTCTGCGGTAAGGATGCAGTAACGTGACGTGGTAGACATCGTGCACACGAGCCTGGCGTTGGTAGTCGGGCAGCTTCACACGAAAGTTGACCGGGCTAGATGCCGTATCAGAACCGACGGCCTGGAGGATACGGCATGGGCCAAAGAAGCGACGCMGRAACTTGCGAAGCGTGTCCGCTTCGAGCTGTAAGTGGCGGGCGTCGATAAGCACATCATCACCGACTTTGAATGGATGATCCATCCTCGATCGATTCGCACGTGCTTCCATGCGAGTCTGGGAAGTGGCTATGTGCTCATGTGCGGTCTTCATGATCGACATCATGTGTGCAACCCAATCATCCAGCGTGGGACAACTTGTGTCGGGGTGAATCTGTGACGGTCAGAGGAAGTCCGCGGGAACACGAGGGTGATAGCCGAGGTCGCAATAGTAAGGCGACATCCCTGTGGCTGGCGAGACGGCGTGGTTGTAGGCTATCTCCGCGTGGGCAAGATGGAGATCCCACTGCTGGTTGTCACGAACAATCTTTCGGAGGATATCTCCGAGAGTCCTGTTCGTGATCTCGGTCTGACCATCAGTCTGTGGATGGTAAGACGAGGAGAAGCGGAACTGAGTGCCATATACCTCGTGGAGCCGTCGCCAGAATCGGTTGGTAAAGCGCGGGTCACGGTCAGATATGATGCTCAGAGGTAAGTCGTGGTCACGCACGACTCGGTCAAACACGATGTCGGCCACCCCACGTGCACTGATGGCATAGCGGCACGGAACAAAGCGTGCACGCTTCGTGAAGCGGTCGACGACGACCAAGATAGCATCATGACCGCGTGGGGTCGGAGGACGAAGAGGACCGATAAAGTCCATCGAGATGGACTGCCAACGACCCTCAGGGACAGGAAGAGGTTGGAGCAAATCATAAGGCAGGTGGTTCGCACTGTTCACCTCCTGACAGGTGGGACACTCTGCGACGTAGTCCTTCACAAAGTCATTGCGCTTCGGCCAGACGTACAGGCGGCTCACATGAGCCAACGTCTTATGGAAGCCCATATGACCGGCAACTGCCTGGTCATGGAACTCTGCTACTGCTCGGACACGTAGCTGTCCACTGGAGGGAACGCAAATACGGGGCTCTCTGGTGCCCTGTGAACCGTGCTAGTACACAAGACCGTTGTCCCCGAGAGAGTAGTTCGGGACGGTATTGCCACTCCGAAGGGTCGCGTGGATGTCGCGATAGTCGGGGCAGTG